GGTTTTCAACATAGCGCTTGGTTTGGAGGAGTAGTTGGGTACTTTCTGCTTTTTCAGAAAATTCGAATTTTTTATTTTGCATTTTGAGTGCTCCCCCCCTTTCCTTTATTTCATACTTGTAATTTAATGAGCCAGTTTGGTGTAGTGGTTAAGTGCACGGACTCTAATCTAGGGGGAACCAGGTTTGATTCCCCACTCCTCCACTTGCACCTGCTGATGTGACCTTGGGTCAGTCACAAGCTCTGGCACAGCTGTCCTTGAAAAAGAGCAGTTTGTGTCAGAGCTCTCTCAGCCCTACCCACCTCACAAGGGTGTCTGTTGTGGGGAGGGGAAGGGAAAGGAGTTTGTAAGCCGCTCTGAGACTCCCAAGTGAAGGGCGGGGTATAAATCCAATCTGTTCTTCTTTGTGTCTGTGGTTTTCAACATAGCACTTGTTTTGGAGGAGTAGTTGGGTACTTTCTGCTTTTTCAGAAAATTCGAATTTTTTATTTTGCATTTTGAGTGCTCCCCCCCCACTTTCCTTTATTTCATTCTTGTAATTTAATGTAATACTTGTGTTTTAATTCCTGTGCCTGCTGAATGTCTGTCTGTAGCTGACTTTCAAGTTGTGGTGTCTTGCAGGAGGTCCGCATCTCTCTCCTCTTCTTGCTTTTCTCTCTTAATCAGGTGACCTAGTCAGGGAAGGACTCTCCTCTGTATTCTCCATTCTCTCTCACTCCTTTTTTCTGTGCCAGATTGAAGCTGGATCTCTTCCACTTTTTGTATGTAAGTGTACTCTCTGCCATTGCTGGGGAGGCTCTCTGTATCTTTCTATCTTAGCTTGAATGGTGGAATTCTGAATTACTGTTTGACCTCAAGCCAGCCACTCTTCGACCAGCAAAATTAATAAAGAAACCTGTAATCTGAAGGCTGGTTGCAAGAAAGTCAAAGGTTTGATACTGATGTAACTGGCTTCAATTGTTGTATGTGACCTTCATCTCTGTGTAAAACAGTGCTATGATCCGTCTCGTTGCTATTTTAATTTCTATCCCACTTGCTTTTGTAAGTGAAATAAAAGGGGCATGGAGAATTAAGAATTTCACAGTATCTGATTTCAGAGTTAGTCTTGCAGCCAAAATAAACAGGAGCCTTTTGGCATCTTAAGTAATAAATTGTGGTCTTTTATATATTTTTATAGTTTTATTTACATTTAGCCACCTTGAGCTCTGCAAAGTTGAAAGGCGGCCAGTGTGTGATTTAAAATAAATAAATAAATAAAATAAAATTTTATTCCAGCATAAGCTTTTGTTAACTAGAGCCCACTTCATCAGATTGTGAGTGAATCTTCTCTTTGAGTGAATCTTCTCTTTGCAGTTATTTTATTTATTTTTTAAAAAAATTATTGGGTCAAGAGGACCAGGAAATGCAAGCAGTACAGAATGAAATGTAATTATGTAAAATTGTAATGTATTATTGCAGAGGACAGTCACTAGTGAGGATACCAAATAATTAGCCACTATAACTCCCCACCTTTTTTTCCCCTGTCAATTTATAGCCGACTTATGGCAACCCTGTAGGGTAGAGGTGTTGAACTCGTTTGTTACAAGGGCCAGAATTGACATAAATGTCAGTTTGTCAGGCCAGACCATGTGTGTCATAAACTGTAATGCCAGGTACCGAAGATATAAACTTTATAAAAAACACAGGCAGACCCAATTGACAGTAGTATTATTTACTCAAAATCCAAACATACCTAAAACATTAACACTATCACATTATTTCCTTAAAGTCTCTCCCTGATGCCCACCCTCCCACTTCCACTGCCCATTAGCACTGGGACAGGATACAGGGACATAATGTACAGCCTCTGTCATCTGGCAATGAAGGTAATGACCAGTTGCTCACGGGCCAGATAAGAGTCGGCTGGTTCTGGCCCGTGGGCCATGTATTTGACACCTCTGTAGGATTTGCCAGGCAAGAAATTAACAAAAGTGGTTTAGCATCGCTTGCCTCTGGCTTAGCGACCCTGGTATTCCTTGGTGGTCTCCTATCCAAATTCTAGTCACGGCCTGACCCTGCTTAGCTTCCCAGATCTGATGAGATGGGGCTAACCTGGATATCCAGGTCGAGCTCCTCACCCATTATAGGTGTTAAATAGCTTAGTATCTGAAGAGGGTCTTAGTCCATGAAAACATATGCTGCAATAGAGATGTGTTCTTCTTTAAGGGGCTACAATACTCCTGCTCATTTGAAAATACATAAAATGCTGCAAAAGTCTGCAGAATAAAACAGCACCATAATTTGAGAACCCTGTCAGGTTAACACTTGCTGAAATCAAAGTGCCTTTGCCACTGGGAGGTTTCTCTTGGAAGTATGTTACATATGATCCAGATTGTCACCAAGAAGAATCCTGTTGAGAGTCCTGGCAGAGATTAGGAGCCTGAAACTGAGGCTGTTGGGTATTCCTTGGGAGAGATGAGTCCAAACTATGGACTATTGAAGATTAAAACCAGCACCAGTTACAGTTGAAAGACCTTGGGACCTGGGAGGTTTACAGCCCTACAAAGTGGCATTCTTAGTGCCCACATCATAAAAAACACACAATCACAAATGGTTTTAAAGTAGAATATGGCTTGTTAGTTCATCTTTCCTCCCATTTGGTTTTGTGATCTTGAAAGTGTATTCGGAAATTCAGAAAATCCCAGGCAAAAGAAGGGTCTTTGCAATAGTGAAAATAAAGTGAAAATAAACTGCAGTTGGCCTTAGCAATCATTAACTTACCACAGGCAGTTATCCTACTGTTCTTTCTGTGTGCCTTGTTTGGGTTGTTCAAAGTCCACACGCCTGGTGGAGGAATAATCAGGGGTAAGGTTAGTCCGAGCACGCCCTGTGCGTGCTTGCAACAGAAGAAATAGCAGCCATGTTATGTAAAGCAGTGCTGTTAGTTGCTGGCTCACAGGTGCAGGATCTGCCCTTGGCAGGTGTTACATGTACTAAGGTGATGTATCAGTAGATAGTTCTTTAAGACTTCATTGTGCCTGTCTGGTTTGGCTGTAACTCTTGATTCCATTCCTTACACCTGCTGTAGTAGATTGCCACCTTGTGGTAAATCATATAAACAAACAGAGAATGGAGGTGACATTTATTAGATCTGGTTGCAGAAGGTGTTGCCAGTTTGGTGTAGTGGTTAAGTGTGCGGACTCTAATCTGGGAGAACCGGGTTTGATTCCCCACTCCTCCACTTGCACCTGCTGATGTGACCTTGGGTCAATCACAAGCTCTGGCACAGCTGTTCTTGAAAAAGAGCAGTTTCTGTCAGAGCTCTCTCAGCCCCACCCACCTCACAGGGTGTCTGTTGTGGGGAGGGGAAGGGAAAGGAGTTTGTAAGCCGCTCTGAGACTCCAAGTGACGGGCAGGGTATAAATCCAATCTCTTCTCTTCTTCTTTTCATACACAGTTTTGTACAACCCAAAACTTTGCATATGCTGTACAGCAGCATTTCAATAAGTATCGCAATAAATATATTTTTTTAATCTATCTTGCTGGAAACAGCATTTGAAGACTTGCATTTTGTTATGTCACCTCGGAACAGAAACTGGTAATGGAATACTATGATGTGGCCAGAATGCTCTTCTGTGTTGCAGTATGATTCTTCTTTTGATATGTGTTTACATGGGGCTAGTGCATACAACTGAGACAACTGCTGCTGATTCTGTCCGTATGAAAAGGTGCCAAGTTACAGGGACTTCATCAGAGGTTCTTCCTGTGACCATGTACTGTTTCTAGGGGGGGGGGTCTATTTAAGTTGGTATTCTAAAATCTAGCAGGCCTTTTCTTGGAAAGCTGTGTTCTTATTGAAGGGAGGATGTGTTCTCAGTACTTTCTGTCTTGTCTTCTAGTGGGCAGAGTTGGTGTGGCAATACTTAATATGAAAAAGGGGATAGGGAAGGAGTAAATAGATGAAGCAGGGCTATCTTTGCATTTATTATTTTAAATTCCTCAGGGCAAAGGGAGATAGAATTTGACCAAGATCAAGAACAGCCTCAAGTAGTTGAGGCTTGGTAGCACCCACTCAACTGCCATGAGATGTCTATAGCAGAAGTAAGAGATCTGCTTATTCTGCAGCCAGGGAGAAGAAAAGAGGGTCAGTGCCATGGTTCTGACCCATCAGGGCTCCTCAAAGGATACAGACAGGTGTGCCTCAGTGGTGATTTACTGGATCCAGGAAAAGGTGACTTCCAAAATAGAGAGGGCCTTTGTGATCACTGTAGAGTAGGCTTGCAGGATAGTGAAAGAGAGGAGTCAGTGAAGATCATACTTCGTACAGACTAGCTAGAAGGTAATTTTGTAGGCAAATTTCATAGACTCTTCCCATAGTCTTCCAGTTCATGAGCTCAATCCTGTCAACACTAGGTGGATGCCTTTCTGTTCCTACAGGAAATGCATAGTAAAAGCTAACTTCCCTTTCACCTTGTGTTTAGTGAAGTGGTTTAAATCAAGGTGTCCATAAGTAGCACCCATATCCCAGATGTGAGCCTCCCAACTCCCCCAAAAGCAGACTTTGTTTCCCCAGAAGGAGATAATTATACTAATTAGGTTGGCCTTGTCTCCTGCTACTCTGTGTTGAGCAGGGGTAATTTCCTGCAGGAGCACACAGGAGCGGAGCTCCGGCAGTAAAGAGCCCAGGGGGCGGGCACATGCAACAAGCCCCACCCCCTGCTCCCAGCAGCCCTCAGTCAGAGCAAGAAGCAGCCAGGTAAGTTGCAGA